GACAAGGTCTCCCTCTGGCTCAGGCTGGTCTTGAACTCATGAGCTCAGACAATCCACCTGCCTTGGCCTCCCAGTCCAAGTCTTCTTCATAGGAATGTATTTCTGTAAGAACCAGCAAGCAGTGGTGTGCTTCTCTTGTGTATGTGGTGTGGAGGCAGAGCAGTGTGATCTTAGGACTGTGCCGTGGATCTGGTGTACAAAGATCCACTTCTACTGGCTGGGAGACCTTGGAAACTTTATAGCAGCTTTCTGTGCCTCAGTTTCCCTGTGAAGCAGCGGGGTGATATTAATGCCTACCCTCATGGGGTGGTCCCGAGGATGAATGGTGATGCAAAGTGTGTAAGGGACTATGCACAGTGCCTGGTGGATGTGAGTGATCAGTACATAGTAGCCAAGATTACTGGCCTCATTTTAAAGTTGGTGGGAGGTGGAGGTAGTGGCAGAGGCAGAAGACGGGTTGAGGGCAGGAATTTGAAAACAGACTGAGCAGACAGTGAGACCCCAGACTCAAAAAAAAAAAAAAAAAGGCTGGCATTACTATCTGGCAATCAGATCATGATTCTCTAAGAGAATGTCCAGGTCCCCATTCTCCTGGGTGACTTCCACACATGTGCCTCTCCTCAACATCCAACACTTCCTCTGCCCTCCTCAGTCTCAGCCCCTGACCTGGCTTGCTAGTTCATAATGGAAACAGAAGCGACCAGAGAGCCCTGAAAGACATCAACCTGCCCCACTTGCTCCTGTTTCTACAGGTGGCCCATCCAGGACCCCAACAGAGGCTGCCCCACTGCATACAGTCAGACCCAATCTCTCCACTGCTGCATTTTGCTCCCTTCTACTTAGAGACAGATGGGCTGTTCCTTCTCCACCGTAGACAACAAGCAAACAGGCAAAAGCTGCACCTCCTGTTTGTACCTTGATCACTTTCACCACTTCCTAAGCCCTGCCCCACTTGTCAACATCAGTGCCAGGTTTGGTTCTAGCTGCATCCAGCAGGCAGAGTAGGTGCTCCACGGATGCTGAGTGAATGAACAGCTATTAGCCACTGAGAGCGATTCAGACTGTTAGCAGGAGGCTAATACTCCACAGAACACCTTCATGAACACTCCTCCCACTTTTGTTAGCTGTCCTTTGGGATATGTACACAGTACAAGTCCACATGTGCAAACTTAACCTCCTGGTCCCTTCTCTCAGGACAGCTTCTCCTGAGTCCATGTCTAGGTGCTGGCACGACTATCAATGTCATCTGAGCCTAAAACCTGAGATCTTGAGCCTCTCAGCTTCTTATTTCCCCAGCCACCAGGAGGCTGCCAAGTTTTAACGGCTCTTACCTTCTCTCACACCTTCCTTTCCTGTCATCTCCTCCCTGATCCTCTGCCTGCCATCTACCCCATATATTGTTGCCAAAGACATTTTTTTTCTTTGAGACAAAGTTTCACTGTGTTATACTTGGTAGAGTGCCATGGCATCCTAGCTCACAACAACCCCAAACTCTTGGGCTCAAGGGATCCTCTTGCCTCAGCCTCCAGAGTAGCTGGGACTACAGGTGCCCACCACAACACCTGGCTACTTTTAGCAGCAGACTCTCGCTCTTGGTCTTAAACTCCTGAGTTCAAGCAATCCACCCATCTCAGCCTCCCAAAGTGAGAGGAGTGCTAGGCATGAGCCACTGAGCCTGGTGACATCTTTCTACTGGGCAGATCAGATACCAACAGCCCCTATGTAGGTCCCCAATAAGCTCTCACAGGACACCATCCATTTCAGCTCCAATGTCTGGCCCCACCTCCCCTGACCAGCCCCACTTTTGCCTCCTTGGAGACCTTTCCATGGTTCTGGTCATACTAAGTGACAAGTCCTAGCATGCAGTGGGTTGTGGTGCACTCTTTGGGATTGCCATACACTCTGCTGGAATGCTCCTCCCCTCCTTGAGTCCCACTTACTACTGGCCTTCCAGCCTGTGGGTGGCCTAGTAACTCTATTTTTTTTTTTTTTTTTTGAGACAGAGACTCAAGCAGTCACCCTGGATAGAGCGTGGTGGCATCACAGTTCACAGCAACTTCCAACTCGGGTTCAAGAGATCCTCTTGCCTCAGTTTTTTCTTTTTTTTCTTTAGTAGAGACTGGGTCTTGGTTTTTGCTCAGGCTGGTCTCGAACTCGTGAGCTCAAGCAATCTACCTGCCTCAGCTTCCCAGAGTGCTAGGGGTTACAGGTGTGAGCCACTGCGCCCGGCCTGGCCCAGAAACTCTTAAATGCTCAGGCTCATCATCACTCAGTGTGGTTCTTCTAGCCCTGCTGATACACAAAGCTCACTCCACTGCAGGTTCAAGTTTGCTGTCTGGCTTTCTACCTGACCACTCCTTCTGACCTGACCACTCATCTTTGTCTCTCTGAGGCTTGCACATGGACCCTGGGATAAGTCCATTCTCCATGTGCTGTGTGAATGAAGAACCAGGGACTGCTTTGGAACTGAGAGCAGCATTGGTCAAAGCCATGTTGGGACATCCCAAAGCCACACCTTACCACTGGAGTTCCAAATTGCGGAGGAGGTGGCCGCACTGCCAGGGGAAACACAATTATTGGAAGATGTGGGAGCCAGAGGCTATGGATTTTGTGGGGTTTATCAGGAAAGGTAGGCCTGTGAAGAAGGGAAAATTAGCCATGAAATTGAAGGAAATTCTGTTAACAGGAAAAGAGAACACTGGGCTGCTGCTGCTCTTCAGCAGAGTGCAAGGTTGGGAGATGATGCAGGGATGGCGACTAGTGCATGAGGTACCAGGTGGATGGGAATGGGCTTGGAAGAGCTCAACTTGTGACAAAGAAATACTTAGTTCTCTTATTAAAATTAAAATAAGGCAGGGTATGAGAGGGGCTAGATCTAAATGCAAGTTACTGTTTTCTGGAGAGGTACAGAGGCGCTACACGTGGTGGAGACCCTAAGCTTTCCAATCTCTCTTCTAAAAGTTTCACTGGCAGCCCACTAGCACTAGTGTTGAAATGCGTGAGAGGCCGCAGGCGGGGGTCTTTGAGGCCATGCAACTCCCGAGTTCAGAGGCGCGTGCGGTCCCTCCAGGCCTCGTCCCACCCTCCCGGAGCAGGAATAGGAAGCAGCTGCTAGACTGTGGTGATGAGGGCCCCTGAGGACACAGAGCAGGTGTCCAATATTTAGGGTTTTGTCCCAAATGGGGGAGTTATTTGTAATTAGTGGCCATTGATTCTTCAAAAGAGGAAACGGAGGGAACGCTCTGCAGCTGAGCGGGCCTCCCTGGGGCGCACCCGGGCTCTACCGGTAGGCGCTGAACGCCACAGGGAGGCCGCGAGGAGGACAGGACTCGGCCTGGGGGCCCCATCCCCTCTCTGCCCCACGGGCTTTGGCCCTAAAGCCAAGCTCGATCCCGGTCTCCGCTTTCGGCGATCTGGGGTATCTGCCCCTGCGTGCGTGGGGATACCCGCGGCCCCCAGAGGATACGACCCTATGGGGGCATCTTCCAGCCACCGTGGGGGGGGGGATATTCTCCTCGCCCGGGGAGATCAGAAAGTCCAGGAGGCTGAACAGTGCTCGGCAAGGTAGCTTCTACACCACGCGGCCCCTTTAATACGCCCTGTCATCTTTGCCTCTGGCCCCGCCCCTGAGCCACGCCGCGAGCCACCCACGTGACCCGGGTCTTGTGACTGGCCCGGGGAGGGCGGGGGAGCCCGCGGCGCGCTCGCCGGTCCGCCTCGCCCGGCGCCGCCTCAGAGGGGCCCGAGCCGCTTGGTGCGCCGCCTCCTGCCGCTGCGTCCCTACCGGGCCGAGCCAGCAAAGCCGGGCCGGAGCGGCGGGCGCCGCCGGGCCGCCATGGACCACAAGCCCCTGCTGCAGGAGCGGCCGCCCGCCTACAACCTGGAGGCCGGCCAGGGCGACTATGCGTGTGGCCCGCACGGCTACGGCGCCATCCCCACCGCGCCCCCGCCGGCGCCCTACCCCTACCTCGTCACAGGTGGGCCTGGGCGCGGCGTCCCCTGGAGCCAGCTGTCCGGCGATCGGCTCCCAGGGGCGGACCTGGGCAGGCACGCGGGGTCGGGACCGGGAGGGGACGCGGCCTGGGAGCTGCCGGGCTGGAGCCTGCGAGCCCCGGGCGGCCTCGGGCCGGTTCCTGCGGGGCTTGTGCTTGGCCCGGAGGGCCGCACCCCTGCTTGAGGTGAACTTTGTGTTATGAGGCACTGTTGCTACATTAGCACCCAGCAAAGCCGTGGCAAGGAGCTTAGTGAAGACAGCGCTGTCCTGATTGGGGAAGCGACTAGGGTTTGACGGGGGTTGGGGGTGGGCAGGAGAAGTCCTCACTGTCCGGTCTCACTCCCTTCTCCTTCTGTGGTGCCTTCCCGCCCACAGGGATACCCACCCACCACCCCAGGGTCTACAGCATCCACAGCCGGACTGTCACCCGCTACCCCACCAACTCCATCGTCGTGGTCGGAGGTTGTCCGGTCTGCAGGTAAGTCTGCAGCCTGGAACTGGCCCTGGCAGTGGCTGAGGGCACATGTACCCGTTGCCTTGCACTGGCAGCGTTGGTTGGGTCTTGACCAGGAAGAGGTGGTCAAGCTGCTGGTCACCCTGGGCTCTGAACGCATTTTGTGGGATAGAAGGGATGGGTTCCCTTTCCTGTGGAGTTGAGTGCATTTTGGGGTATTGCACCCCAATTGAGTGGGATGTAGAAATGTTGACTCCATCTTTCTTCCCTTGTTTGGGACCTGCAAGGAATCAGTTTTCTTTTTTTACCTCCAGTTTCCACAAGTTTATTCTACAGTTGATTTTTTAAAGTGATGGAAGATTTCTTTTCCCTGGAAGGGGCATTTTTGAAGCACACCAGTGGGGTAGACCTGAGTGGGAAGGCCCAAGTGTTTAAAGAGCTGGGAGAGTGACAGCTGCAAGGGCTGCTTTATCCAAAGCAAGGCTGAGACACTCCCTGCCCTGAGCTGGACCAGGACCGAAGTCCTGTGGTTCTTTGGGACAGGAGGAGTGATTTTTTTCATATCCTCAAACTGGAGCCTCCAGAAATTTTTTGCTGGTTTTGTGTATGTCTTCAGGATTCAGGTTCAGATAAGACTTGGTCCCCTGGCAGATGGGGGTGTTCACATTGTTTAGAACAGGGGTCCTCAAACTGTTTAAACAGGGGGCCAGTTCACTGTCCCTCATACCACTGGAGGGCCGGACTGCAGGCTTCAGGGCGAGTTGGCTGCTAAGTAGGACAGGCAGCGGCAGCAAAAACACCCGACGGGCCTGATAAATGTACTAGGTGGGCCACAGTTTGAGGATGCCTGGTTTAGAAAGTCAGGGTGGAGTTGGCATGCACTGGATTTTCAGTCTGTGTCTGGGAGGAGGAAGTTGAAACCTCTGAGATGGAATTGGGAAACCCTGGTTTGGACTTACACTTAATTGCCAAAGTGTACTGAGGCCCAGAGTGGAGTCATAGGGAAGTTAGTGATTTCAGAGCCATAGGGGCAACTGCCTTGGGGCACGGAGGGCAGCTCCGAGGTGGGGCAAGAGGGCCGAACCCCAGAGCTGCCCCAGTGCCTAGTGGAGAGGGACTGTGGCTGGGGGAGTCTCTGGTGGAGTCTTCCCAGGAACCCCAGGACAAACCCAGACAGGGTGTCTATTCTGACACAGCTGGGTAATGCCTAGCAGGAACGTAGGCCTTTGAGGGGAAGGGGAGAAGAGTGCAGGAATGTGGCTGTCCCCAGCAGCTGCCCCTGTGGGGTTAGAGCAGTTGGGTTTGAAGGGGCATAGAGTGGACTTGCTGGAGCACAGTTGTCTGTCTGCCTGGGGTTTCAGTGTTCACTGTGTGTCCCCAGTGTGGTGTGGTGCCTGACCTTTTAGGGGAGCTGGGTTCACACTCTGGCCTGTTTCTCCATGTGGGACATGGGTTGTTGGATGAGAGTTTATGAATTTGGGGGCTGGAGACCAGCAGCAGGGCCATGGAGCTTCCAGGCCATGAGGACAGTTGCTATCAGGGTAGGGAGCACTTTTCTCTGGTCCTCTCTTTTCCTTGGGGTGGGAATTATGTCCTTTTGGAGGCCCATGGCTTCTGCTAACCAGGCCTGCTCTCCAGTCATGTGGAACTTGGCACAGGGTGTGAGTCCACTCTCTGCTTTTCTGGGAGACTTGGGCCTAGCCCTGGGGCTAGGGCTGAGGCTTCTTTCCTTTCATGCTTGGGTCACTGTCTGTTCTCTCTGTCTCTGGGTAGCATGGCAGGCGGTGAGAGACTGCACAACTTTGGGGGCCTCAGTCCTGTAAGTTGGGATTAGAGAGAGCACATACTGATCCTGGAGGGGGACCCTCCCTGCGCTTAGGCCCTGCACTTGTAGTGTCCCTGCCTTCTGCCCTAAGTGCCCTCGCAGTGCCCTGGCTGCTGGAGAGGAGCCTTGACTCCCTGAGGCCTTTCTGTGTCTTCTTGGCTGTGTTGGGCATGGGCCTGGGCACCATTCCCAGAGTGGGTGACCGGCAGTAGGCAGGGGAGTGGGAGCTCTGCTGCTACCTGGGCTGGAGGCTGTGGTTCCTGAGCCATGCTCTCTGGTGGGAGTGGAAATGTTTCCCTCAACATGGTCAAGTCTGGCCACGCTCTGCTGTTTTGGGCCTGGGAGACAGGATACTGCTCACGTGACCTCACTTCCTTCCCAGACCCGCCTGCCAGGCTCTGTCCCTTTCCCTCCCTAGTGGCTTGGCAGGAATTTGCCCAAGTCACACGTTTGTTATTCCCTCAGAGTGAGGCTTGGCATAAGAGGCCCATGTCATTTGTCACTTTGCCATCCTGTCTGAGCCTTTCCTCAGTGTGACTCCATCTTCCCTTTTTAGCTGTTTACAAGAGAGCATTGCTTTCTGCCCCACGGAAGAGTCCCCTCTTGCACCCTTTCATTTCATTCCTGCCCTGCCCAAGGCACTTTCTTGGCCAACAGGGCACCCATTGATACTGGGTCTCTCTGAGGCTGAGCGCTACCCTGCTGAGTGAGGCCAGTCACCCCTCCCCAGGTGTGCAGGACAAGATACAATGCTGGGCAACGGGATCTCCTCTATGCTGGGCAGGTGGGTATGGAGAAGGTGCCCTGGGTGGCTCAGGTCCAAGGTTATGCAAGCTGTGAACACAGGCCAGGCCTGCTGGACTCTCCATGAATACTGCTGGGTTGTCATCAGGGTTTAGTTTTGGGGACAATTTGAAAGGTAGGAAGTCTCGGCAAGAGCGAGGTCTTGGAAGGCATAAGTAAGTTAAAGCAGTAGCTGTCAAGGGCAGAGGCTGCCCAGAGGTGGTCAGTGTGGAGAGACTCGGGGAAGAAGCTGGCTGCCCAAGGCTGTGGAGGGCTTATGGTTGTAGAGGGGCTGCTCCCTTCTGCCACCTCTGATTGGGGAGCTAGAGCTCTAGCCTTGGTTGGGGAGATGGGTGGGGGAGTTGGCTAGGATGGACCCTGCCCATGTCCATGGCCCCACGTGCCCCTGTCCTGAGGTGCTGACTTGGCAGGGTGTGTAGACCTGGGGCCCAGTGCCAAGCCCAGAGGAACCGACTGAGCCTTGGGCTGACCTGCGCTGCCTCACTGGCCTTCTGGTCTCTGACCTGGCTCAGCTCCCCAGCTGCAGGTAGAGGTGGCGCTCTCAGGGGTTTGTATGGGCTAAGTCATTAGGAGGGCCACCAGGCACCTGCTCTGGCCCAGGCCTTTGGGGGAGGCCTGAGGCTATCCTGGCCCTCAGAGGTCCTAGCAAACTGATTCTAAATGAAGCAGCTCTCCCACTTCCTTTGGGGATCTTTTTGGTGTGGAGACCCTGGGATAGCTAAAGGCTGGTTGGGGCTGCTTTGAGGCCATTCTACCTCTGTCTTGAGCTTTGCTTTGGGGTCTGTACCCCTCAGAGGCAGTCCTCTTTTGTCCTTTTTCCTGAGGAGGCTTATCTTTTCTGTGAGGGGTCATCTGGGGGCAGTATTGTGCCCGAGGCCACCTTGGGCTCAGGAGAAGTGATTAGTTGGGGATGAGAGAGGAGGCTGCTGGGTACCCCAGGCCAGCCCCTTGTGGCACTGATGGCCCTCCAGGCTGCCTCAGAGAAAAGGTCCAGGCGTGCTGGGTGGGATCCTTTCTCAGAGCAGCGGCACTCATCTGCACTCAGATCCTAGCCACTCTTAGCTGTGTGGCCCTAGGCTAAGGTGACCAGACATCCCGCTTTTGGCAGGATAGTCCTGATCTTTAACAATTTGTCCCGCTTCCCGCGGTGTTTTAAAAAAGTCCCAATTTTTGGAAAGAATGCACGACAAGGGTGGGACAATAGGAAGGGAATATACGGTTTTCTGCTGCTGAAAAGGTTAATGTAACTCCATTGGGGAATGAAGAGGTTAATGTAACTTCATTTGGAAATGAAGGCTAATGTAGCCTTTTGGAAAAGGCTACTGTAAACTCTCTACTCCCCTCCTGGGCAAGGTCGCCCAGGTGGACAGCGCCCTACTCCTTTGAGCCACAGATGCTGCCCTATACATATATATTTTTTTAATGTATTATATTTGTAAATTGTACTTATGTTGAAATTAAAAAAATATATATTACAATACTATTTTTGCATTCTATGAAAATTTTTGTTGCTCCATATAGATCAAATTTTTAATTAAGAACCCTCCCACCCCAATGGTGTCCCGCTTTACCAATGTTAAAATCTGGTCACCTTACCCTAGGCAGGACTGTGGGCCTCACGCTCCTGTGGTGAGGACAGTTCTTTGAGGACCATTCTTTCTGGCTGGGTACCTGACTCTGACAGCTCCAGAGCTCACTCCTCTGCCATCCTTCTCTATCATGGGTGGGAAGAGCCTGGTCTGGCTGGGCCTGCACTGTCCCTGGCCCAGTTCCAGGCAGATGTCAGGGGGGAGAGTGGGCACTTTGACTGCAGAATTAGAGTCACGGTTAATGAATTAGTTCGCTATTTTCACCAGTTTCCACTGTTCCCCTCCCCCCAACATGAATGAGGGGCTACCTGTGCAAGTCTGACCCTGGGGCTGGAGGGGTTGGACTCTGAGTTTGGAGGGGAGAGAAGACCATGGTGAGGCTGAGGGATAGGCTGGTGGAGGGCAGCAGCTGTTGCCAAGGTAGGGTTCCTGCCTTCAGCGGGTACTTGGAGATGGGGCTACTCTGCAGCTTGTGTGGTTTTGTCAGATCAGGATTGGCCTGGAGCCCTTAGTTCAGAAGTTGGGTTTTAAAATACTAAATTATGTCAGTCCTCTCTTTGAGGTCTTGGGCAACACAGTGGTAAAACATTAATATTTCTGGAGCAAGACATGAGTATTCACATTCAGCAGGATAAATTAAGACTATAAATAGTCACACATCAGCTCAGGTCACATGTTGCTGCCAGGTGAGTTTCCTATAAACTGACAGTGCTGGCATTTGGAATTTTGTGTAGGGTGTGTGGAATCTTGAGAGGTCAGGCCTGAAGCTTTCTGCATCCAGTTGATGGGGCAGGTCCCTTCTTCCCTTGGGCCCTGTGAAACCCGTTCAGAATATTTAGTTAGGTTCAAGTTATTCTCCAGGGCCGAGGATGGTCTTGGATCATAGACTTTTGTTGTTGGCAGGCACCTGAGCCTTGACCAGATACCCCCCAGCTCTTGGGCCTCATTGAAGAGAACTGTCCTCTTCCCAGAGACTTGGTAGCTTTAATCCTCTTTCTTGGTGGCCTTGGGCAAGGGTTGGGGAAGGCTGCCCTAGGAGGTCATGAGACCTGGTACTGTGACCACATGCTCAGCAGAGGGTGGCCTGAGTTTCCCACCTCTGCTGTGACTAGAGGCAGTGATACTCCAGACAGAAAGCACCACAGGCTTGAAGGGTAAGGATGGGAGGGTTCCTAGTGCCTGGGAGGCTGGGGCCATCCCAGCTGGTTTTGCCCATTACTGTGTTCAACTTTGTGAGTTCTCAGCGCAGCTCCAGGGCAAAGCAGTTTAGGGACCTGGCCTCGTGGCACGGGGTGCCCAGAGAGTGACCACTTAGTTTTCCTGGACTTCCTCTAGCTTCATCAGTGGGGGTAGGGTTTGTGGTCTGGAAGGAGAATTAGAAGAGGCAGGAGTGGGCTGCTGCTTGGCTACTTGACTCCAGAGGACAGCAGTACCCTGCAGCTGGGACAGGTTTGGCAGACCCCCCCAGGGAAGCCTCACCCCTGTCCTATGGCACTTTACATCCCTGGCAGGGCCTCTCCTGGGCACCTGACCTGGCCTGGCCTTTTGGGTATCTCCTGAGCCTGTGAGCACGTGGGTGGGCTCTGATCTTGTCTTGTGGGGCATCCTGGGTAGGCACTCACATGTGCTTGGGCCATGTTGGTCCCTGGAGGCCACTGATTCATGGCAGCTTGGGGAAGGGATGTTCGGGAGGCATGCTGGGGCACGACTTTTCAGAGGGCAGCTTCTCTGCAAAGTTTCCTAAGCTGGTTCACTTTTGCTATCCACTTTTTTTTTCATGGGACATTTTCTAACCGGAATATACAAATCATTTTGTTTCTTGGGATTTGAGCTGTAAGCAGAACATTGTGCAGATGCCAGAAAGAAAACAGGAAAGTGTAGCCCAAGAATGGTCTGAGGCCACTTGGCCTCCCTCCAGCTGCTCTGGAAGTTCTCAGCCCAGGGCTGAGATGTCATGGCCATCTGTGCAAGGACACAGCTGGTGGGCCAAGGCCTTTCTGAAGTTCGCCGACTTCCTACTTGGAAAGCATGGCCTGGGTGTGTTCTCAGCTTGGTCCTCTGGTGGAGAAGGTCCTGAGCCCGGCAGGGTGTGCTGTGTGCTTGGCACAGTTGGTTGGGGGGCGTCTTGCAGGGGTAGCTATATAAGCAGAGCTGAGCAGCTGTGGTGGCCTGGTGACCTTATAGTGGTCAGAAGGGGGACACTTTTGTAAAAGTCTACAATAGAAATGGTACCTTTGCTGACACCACCTCAGGCCTGATCAGCATTCCCTTAGAGCAGGGCTTCCCCATGTGCCCCATAGTCCAGCTCATCCACATTCACACAGAACAGGCTGGGGAAACATGGGGCAACAAAGAACTGCAGGATTTAGAACCTTTCATGAACTAATGTACACAGGGACCCTCTAAGAGGGGATTGAAAAGGTTCCCAAAATTGACCAAAGAATTCCCTTGTTCTTTCCTGCAGAGCTTGGCAGGGAACTAGTGTCTCAGGACAAGCCCCTTGGGAAAATGCTACTGGAACTCCTCGTCTGTCTAAGACATGTTTAAGGCAGCTCCCTCCTGAGTGGGTTGGAGGGAGTCAGGCAGGCATTGAGTTTTACTTTTTTTAAAGCAATTTAAAGCCAGACTTTTTCTTTTTCTTTTTTTTGAGATAGAGTCTCTCTTTGTCACCCTCAGTAGAGTACTGAGGTTGCTCACAGCAACCTCAAAATCTTTTCTTTTTTTGGACCGGGGCTGGGTTTGAACCTGCCACTTCTGGCATATGGGGCCAGCACCCTACCCTTTTGAACCACAGGCGCTGCCCCCCAACCTCAAAGT